TCTCAACTATTTTTTGAAGTGATTTCAGTTGTGAGAGGATGTCATTTAACCGCCTTTGTTTACGAAAACAACTTGCGCACTCCGCAGTACCATTTATATCTGTATTTAGTGAAAGTATTTGGTAACGATCCAACAGCACACACGTCTCAACCGCCATATTGCCGCAAAACTTGATGTTTATAAGAAGACATTACTTCAATTTCTTTATCTTCACTCATTTTATAGCATTGATGAATTTTTTAAATATAAAATATAATAATCTTCCTACTGAATCCAATTGATAAATCCACCTATATAAATACTTCAGTTGTTTACCATAATTTTAAATATCTGTTAAAATTTATTACTCATTTATGCAGATATAAGCATGTAATATGACCCCATTTGAATTTATTTGTTAGGTTGTTAATTTTGTGACACTTATATATTAAGTATGACACGTATATTTTCATGTTTATCTGTAAGTATTCAATAAATATTTCGTTTTTTAATTTTAACTATACTAAAATGGTGTGTACAAAACTTAGACTTGTTTCTTATTTGTGTTCTTACGATAAATGATATAATGATACAAACTCCGTCTCAAGTGCAAACAATATATTTTGTGTCTTTGATCTTGCTCCCCTACACTACATGTTTCGGCCTCAGACGGCCAATATCAGGTGTATAACACTCATGTCGCTGTCACACTGCACCCAGCTCAAAATTTAACATTTAAAAACACTTTCCTTGTTATTATCAATTTCTTCTTCGTTGATAACTGTCTGGTTTGTAGATTATTTTATTTTACACACGTTAATTTTGACTTTGTTGTAATAGCACTGTAATAAAATCTTTAGTTCTAATTTTAAAAACCTTTAAAATTCTTTCCTAAATTTTAAAATTTTAAAAATTGTTAGGGTTATTCGCCCTATGTTTAAAGTGATGCAGCGGCTAGTTCTTGTTACCACACTGTATAGGTGTTATCTTGTGTAGTCTTTCTGTGTGCATGCCGCTGCTATTCTTTACTACTATTTATCGTATGGAGTGCAACAGGATGCTTAAATATAATATTGTGTTCTTACATTTTGATAAATTAGCTTATTTCAAATGATTTCATATTAAGGTATGATTGTTGAAGTTTCTTGTGAGGTTCTTATTAATGACTAGTATATGTTTATTTTCATTTTATTGTTTTTATTGACAAGTGTGTTTTACATGTATTATATTCGTATTTTCTACTGTTGTATTTTGACAATCTGCTTGTTTGTAAAGCAATGATTTTTTATCTGACTGTTCCTATATCCGATGGTTGTTCTCACAACCTTGTAAAGATCTTATGGAATATAATAAAGTGAATATTCGTGCGCTTTTCTGTTAATAATAATAAAGTGAATATGAATATGCTGCAAATGCGCTATGCGATTGTATTTTGTTAACACTCGCAAGACTACATTTCTGCTGTTCCTGTGCGTTGCCGAGCTTGCCGAGTATGTAGTGAAACGTAATTTCTGCGTTTTGGATATCGTGGTCGCCTTTGTTGTGGTTTTGGGTGTGTATGTGTGTGTAGAGGAATGGCATCGTCTCTACGGTGTAGGACACTGGTAAACAATTGTTAACTTTTTTGTGTATTTTAATTTTGTTGACTATAATAGAATTTAAAAGCCCAGAATATTACTGTTTTTGCTGTTGTAGGAAAGTGTAATACAAATTTTTTCGATTTCAAGGAAACCAGTTACCATGTTAAGAGACGTTAATTCATGTAGATTCCAAAGGGTTCAAACGATGGTGTATAATACTCAGAATTACTGGGCTTTTGGACTTTGCCCAGCAAGGTTAGCTCGTTCTAATGGAACCAACAGAATAGGTGTCTTCCTCCTCTCACCTGAGGCCGGAAACAGATCCATTTTAAAACGTGTTTTCTAGCTTCTAGAATACTGGACGGTGAACAGAGTCCAAAAACCAACTAATTCGGAACCTTGATACATGTGTATTAGTTTTACCAACTCTCCGTGGTTGTAATGAGGTAGTTGTGTGCGGGGCAGTTAAGTAAGATTTTTTTTTAATGTTTCGTAACATTCAACTCGTTATAAAGGGACAAAAATTGTGCAGCATGGTGTGTTAGGGAGCAAAGGTTTATATGATAGGAATGACCTGCAGTAGGATGCCCTTGATATAAGAAAACAGCTGCTCCTACTCACTGAAGCTTTTCCATCTTGATGAAAGATTTGCTATTGCTCGACCCACCGCCAGTCCTTCTGACCATATTTATAAGAGAAACTGAGTTATCTGCAAGGCAGTCATGTTTAGCATGACACCACTAGATGGGCCACTGGAGTGCAGAATGCAGTTTGGGCTACCAGACTATTAGCAGATGAATGAACTATGAGGAGAATAGAGACAGCTACATGATAAAGAGCATGACAATGTATTTACTTCACATAATGTTTGCTGAAAGTTGTCCCTGTGCTTAAGTATCATGCAACAAAGGTGTATGAGGGAGTGCAGGTAAAGGTTTAACTGTAGTGCTAGATAGAAGTAAGTGGTTAGTTTGGTGCTCTGGTGCTGCCAGTTGGTCAGAGTTGTGGAAGGATTGCTAGAGAGAGTATCTGCACCTGCCAGGAACTGAATACAAGTTGTCCCTGTGACCAACCTTGAGTAAACTCTTTTTTTGAGTTCATGTTTGTACTCACACTGACACACACTGAATATATCCACATTGGATGTTCTTTAAATTTTTGTACCTGTTCGTAGAATGTAAGCAGAGCAGGCAGTAGAAAATAGAGATGGGAACAAGGAAAATGGTAAAATCCAGAACATTGACACAAAAAATCGATTTTGTAAGGTGGGCCAGCGATTGAGAATTTTTTTTGGGGGGGGGGAAGGGGTTAATATTTTTAAGATGATTAAATCAAAGAAAATGAGATGGATGGGATGTGTATTACATATGCAGGAAACAAGAATGGCATTAAGAATTTTACCTAGAAGGTCTGAAGAGATGAGAAAGGCAGTATTGAAATGAATTTTACAGAAATAGATGGACATAGCATCACATAATGGACCCCTGCACCATCATGTCAGTGAGAACCTTGGATCTCACAAAACCAGTTTAACCATAGTCTGGTAGAAGTTCTCTTAGGTTTCAGAGTAACATGCCTTCATCTTCAAGGTTGAACAGTAAGCCAAAGAAGCAGCTTAGGATGAATTCTTTATTAGTCCTATTTCTATATATGCTTCGTTTGAATGTGAATATTATGTTATCTGGGCTGTGCTGACACCTGGTTTGGCATACAGTTACCATAACTTTTTGCCAGACTACGCAGCATACTGTAACATTTAGATCTGTTGCTAGGGAACAGCTAGGTAAACAAGTTCCTGCAAGGACAAATTCTTGGCCAACAATAGCTGAAGTGTTTCCATTACTAGGCAACAAAATTGTAAACACACAACAATAGGATGAATGTTTATAGCTCGCTGCTAGCAACGGTCAGCATGCCAATGACCTCGCTGGGTAGGAATAATGTGAGTCATGTTTTCTGTGTGGTCGGTGCTACACAACAATAGTGGACATGTTTTCCATAGGGTCCATGCGGAGAGGTTATCTTGGAGACCATCTGCGCTATCAGTCAGTCAGTTCTGAGTTTTTGGTAGAAGATAGGCAGAGAGCATTCGTTGCAGAAGAAGAATATCAGAAGTCGGCCTATGAAGACTTGGCATGTTGTTAGAAGATTTAGTCACAGACTGTTTTAATTCCATTACCAGGAGAAAGCTAGTGAAGGCTGGATCCTGGTGCATGTGTAACAGTGAATTGTAGATTGTGGGAATTAACAGTAGCACTGTATTTAAATGCGATTAAGAGAACTTGTAACCAAGGTGCTAATAAATGCAATCATCCGAACTAGAACCTGTCATTTTCATCTATGATACCACCCTACACGTGACAGTAATCTGCAGCTTCATATTTGTTCTGTGTTTAACAGTTACTTGCCTTTATCTGTGACGAGCAAGTGATTGCTTCTTACTTATGGTGGTATGTCACCATGCATAATTGGCACAACATACAAGGCTGTCAGCATTTGTGAAGGTCATATCATCTGCTGAATACAAAGGTCATCATTTGGGGCACCAACACCAGTGTCTGAACATTGTTAAATGTATCTCCAGATCTAAAGATTGCTATTGCCTGTCTTCACACTGTCACATCCCACAAGACGGCAAACACTGAGTCTTCTTCAGCCTGCAGTGTCTTCATTCAACAGTCATTTCCTGGTAACAGATGTTAACTTCCAACGCTAAGGTCCTTCCAGGTCCAGGAAATGTCCTGCAGCTGAACTATAGCACCATCTGTTCTGAACCTTCCCAGAGCACAACTGAACTACTGCCTCTCAACTAACTTTATCAAGTTGAAGTCAAAGTCAAAGCCACATTGCGACTGACGGTCAGTCAGTCAGTCTTGGTGTCAAGCCCAATCTGGGTGTTATGACCAGATATTTATTATTGTTTGATAGTCACGGTCTTGTTATTGTGGGGTGCCCTCTCTGACGAGAGGACGAGTCTGTCTTTTGTTAGAATCATTGTATGCAGTAGTAGGTCATTTGTTATAATGTAAATGATATTTGCATTTTACATGTTAAACATGTTAATGTATATAAAATATATACAGGTCCTATGTCAGTCCAGGCTCTGTACAGCAGATTATGCCCTGAATCTAGTAGCTTCCACTACAGTGGCGCTCTAGTCACTTGAATGACTGTATCACCCCAATTGTCTTCATTATAACCACTGTGCACGGACTGAACAGAAAACACCACCCCCAATATGTTGCCTAGAAACAGGTTGCATAACGTTGTTTTATTGTTGTGAGTGTTACGTAGGAATGGCCACTGTTTACAGAGTCGTCACTTAGCAGCAGATCTATATGCCACAGTATGTTGATTGATGCATTTTTTTGGTGCCGTATGTGTGCTATTCTGTGGTGTGTTGTGTAGATGTGAACAACGGAAAGACTGAAAGAAATATGTGGCAGCCTTCATGGTCATTGCTGTGAGAACCTCAGACATGTAAATGATGTTGCATACTGCATAGTGGCTGGGCCTGTGTCATGTGGCTGCCGCATGATTTTTGCTGGAGGTGGAAATGTTCTCTTGTCCACCGACATGGCCCCACCAATGCCCCACCCAATCTTAAAGATGATGACAGCAATGTAACTCTTATAACTAATACAGTGTTTTTACAGAAACATGTGGTAAATGACATTGCCAGTTGATATGTAACATGTTGCATCCTGTTGCAGGTGCATGTCCGTCATTGCAGTTCTGGTGTGCGCCTGAATGATGTTGTAATTGTCTCTGGTGTGCGCACACCCATGGGCTCATTTGGAGGTGCTTTGTCATCACTCTCCGCACCTCACTTGGCAGCAGTCGCCATTAAGGTACCCTCTCATTGCATAGCTTGGACTCTGCGGCATTAGACTGATTTTATTGAGTTTTGTGTGTTTCTTGGAAATGGTGGCATAAATTAGCAGCATGAATTTTATACCTTGTCTCAGCATATTAAAGAGGTGAAGTAAACAGTCACCTGTGTCTCTCTCCCTCAAGAAACGTGGCCATGGACACGTGACAGTTGTATAACTACTAATTGTGAAAGCATTGGTCTTCATGCACTAAACACAGTAGTTATGAATGGTTTGTGTTGTTCTTACGTGGAACAACAAGAAACATATACTTCTTTTGGCTTGTTTTGGACTTCACCCATTGTCTGGTATGTAAAAGACAAAAGACCACAATGTTTCAGAGACTGGATCTGTCTCAATCCTCAGTTGGGTAGGGCAGGATAAACCTACTCAGTTGGGCCCGTTAGAAAGAGCTAGCCTCAATCCAGTCCAATCTGAAATGTGGTCTTTTGTCTTTTACATACCAGATGATGGATGAAGTCCAAAACAAGCCAAAAGAAGTACAGTATACACCATCATCAGAATCCTTGAAAGTCTAAGCAAGAAACATGAAAACTAACAAAAAATTGATAAGCACAGTCATGTGGGTGTCACATGTTAGTGAAACTGATAACAGAAATGTGGCCGAGTTCTGGGCACAGCCACAACAGGTGTGCTTCCTCATGATCAGCAGACATTTTTTTAATGTTTATTTGTTAGGATGCTGAATAAGAGTAGACCCGGATAGACTTGAAAGGATTCTGACGATGGTGTATACTGTACTTCTTTTGGCTTAGTTTGGACATCGTCCATCGTCTGGTATGTAAAAGACAAAAGACCACGACGTTTCAGAGACCAGTGGACCAGTGATTGAGACTGGCTCTTTCTAACGGGCCCAACTGAGTAGGTTTATCCTTCCCTACCCACCTGAAGACGGAGACAGATACAGTCGCCAAAAGAAGTAAAGAGTAGACCCACATTGCATTTATTGACAATAATCAAGACTTCTGTGTTTTCTTATTTGTTAACTTTCCATAAACAGCCATTAAGATGGAAAAGCATTTGTGCAGTTTTTATGTTAAGGGGCATAAGCTGCTGTTGTAACCTGTATATCCATAGTCGCCATGTAGTTTACTTCATCTCTGGAGTCTAGATGGACGTACTTAACATTAATAGCACTGCATGCACCTGTACCCACAGCAGTCACATGACACAGAGTTGGCTGCCATTTTAGAGACCAACACTGAAAGGGTTAAATGATGGCACAGGGTGCAATCGAGAGGGCAGGCATTCCCAAGGAGGAGGTGAAGGAAGTGCTGATGGGCAACGTCCTCCAGGCAAATGTGGGTCAGGCCCCTGCGCGGCAGGCCACGCTCTTTGCAGGTATCTACAGCCACTGTCAAGTCATCTGGCATCAGATGGTGAATTGCTCAAGCCAAGAAATTGACAAGTGTTGTGTGGGGCATCGGGACAGGGGTTGGTCATGCTACAGTTTGTAAAGTTGCATTCTCCCACAACTTTCTTTTATGTATCTACCGTATTTACGCGTGTATAGGCCGCAGCACAATTTTCAGACAGAAATTATAGAAAAAATAATTTTCTTGGAATATTATTTCAGGAGTATTACACTCTGTATTACTAATTATGAATATAATTTTTTTAAATGAAGTGTGATTTCGAATATTTCGAATATAAGCCGCACCCCAGTTTTCCTCTTGAATTTTTGGCAAAAAATGTGCGGCCTATACATGCGTAAATACGGTATATACATGTAAGCAGGGGCCACCTGTCCAGTGGAGTGATAGTGACCCCTCGCAACCATTTTGAGCCAAGATGTGAGGCTACACCTCCCTCCACTCTTTCATAAATCTTCATGCCATGGCCCAAAACTAGCTACAGGGACAACTTTACATATGTACTTGTAACTGCTGCTGTGTTCATGAGATCTGCCATATTCTGGGGTCCGTTCTGGCCCTCCCCATAGTTTATTGTCAGTGGGTGCACTGGAACCTTCAGAAGTTTTGTGCCTGATATAACATCCCTAAAAAGAAAAGTGAAAACGAATTATAAAGTCGTTCCTCTGCTTAATTAAGCACTACACCGTGAAGACATGTCAGGGAGTGGAGGTATAGCTCCACCACCTTAGCTCTAGATTCAGGTGAGTACTAACATATCTAGCCTTTACAAAATAGCTTCATATAATTAGCATGCTCTATTTCCAGACATACCACACTAAAAAGAAGTATTGATTATCTACACTTCTGTGGATAAATTTGTTTGAATTTATTATGGTAATTTAAATCTGGTTACATTAGCATCTGATGTCTGGTCTGTGTGTCTGTGTCTTTCTCCTGTAATAATATCAGAACCACCTGACATTTTCACGGAACTTGGTATGAACCTCATGCCACTGGAGGTCATTGTAACTTAGTGTTACTAGTAATACCCACTTGGTGTTCATACAGACCCCTAAGGTGTGTCTGCTACCGTCTCTACATAATGTAGCATTGTGGCTTTTGTGGTGTGGAGAGAGACTATGAATATGCCAACAGACATCAGGGAACACTTTTATGGTGGTAATTGCACTTGTAATGATGGTGCCATAATCATGTCTGGCAAACTTAGCATAGTTGGAAATTCTGCTAGGTGCATTTACATTTAGAGGAAGGTAACTTTCCTCAAGTTCTTCTCAGGATTTCTAGTTCTGTGAAGTGTTATGAGCTTGTGCTCTGCTGAGCGTGAAGCTAGCCTGTTTTTTACTGCAGGGCTGCCAAGCACAACAATTTGCACAACAGTGAACAAGGTCTGCGCCTCAGGCATGAAGAGTATCATGCTGGGGTCTCAGGCCCTAATGTGCGGTCTGCAGGATGTCGTGGTGGCAGGTGGCATGGAGTCAATGTCGAACGTCCCATTTTACATGCCGCGTGGCGAGACCAGCTATGGTGGAGTGAAACTGAATGTCAGTAATGTATTGTGAGGCAGATGAGCCAACTGTAACAGTTTGCAATGAAAGTTTATATGTGAGACATAAGTTATTTGAAGATTGCCATGTGAAAGTGTCACTTGCTTTAATTAATTTTAGGGACCTGTATTATTTGAGTGTAACTTGCTGAATTCCTGTACCATAGCTCAGGCAGTTAAGGCACTGCCTCCTCACTGCATAGCCTTGAATTGGTCCAGGTGAGTGTCCTTCACATGTGACCTGGTACTTGACTGGTTATGGACTGAGGGAGTTAATGTGGAAGATGATCATGAAAAAACATGTCCACTAGATACATATGAAGGATCATAAACATGCTCCTCTAGTGC